TGAGGGAGTGCCGCACTGGGAGGGTCAGCGCTGAGGGAGTGCCGCACTGGGAGGGTCTGCGCTGAGGGAGCGGGCACTATTGGAGGGTCAGCGCTGAGGAGTGCCGCACTGGGAGGGTCAGCGCTGAGGGAGTGCTGCACTGGGAGGGTCAGCGCTGAGGAGTGCCGCACTGGGAGGGTCAGCGCTGAGGGAGTGCCGCACTGGGAGGGTCTGCGCTGAGGGAGCGGGCACTATTGGAGGGTCAGCGCTGAGGAGTGCCGCACTGGGAGGGTCAGCGCTGAGGGAGTGCCACACTGGGAGGGTCAGCGCTGAGGAGTGCCGCACTGGGAGGGTCAGCGCTGGGGGGGGGCCGCATTGGGGGGGCAGCGGCGAGGGAGTGCCGCACTGGGAGGGTCAGCGCTTGGGAGGGTCAGCGCTGAGGGAGTGCCGCACTGTTGGAGGGAAGATGTGAAAGGTCACCGATACAGCATTGGAAAAAGAGCCGTGGAGCTCGCTTCCAATATTGTTTTCTGGTGAAAGATGAGGAAATAAGCAGATGATCTGTTAATTGTGAGGTTGCTGGTTTTGAAAGGTTGCTGTGTGCACGTGGAAGTGTCGATGCAGTATCAGCGGGCCGTATGGCCTGTTTTGGCACTGGGGGGATTCTGTGATCTCCTATGATTCTAAGTTGGCTGTTGATTCCTTTACAAAGTGCAGTAAATATATCTCAAAATGATTTCATTGGCTGTAATGTGTTTGACGATTTTCTTAGGATGAGACAGGCACTATTGAAATGCAAATTTGGTCTCTCCGACTGAATTTAAATTGCTGGTGTCTGGCCCTCGCCAGTCTGTTCGTGGGAATCATCAAACAATGTAGACATTGTCTTGCCCTCTGATTATTAAATAGCTGTCGAGTGGTTCTGCTTTAAGGATAGGTTTCCTCCTCGCCAGTGAATGAAACTCCATTAGCTTCTTTGAGTGACTGAGATGACTTAAGGTGCTTGTTTAATGTGGATTACTGGTCTAAGTGAAAGTTTATTCCACCTTGCAGTTAATCAGCAGCTGGCTGATTCCAGCAGCCTGTGAGATGCAACAGTTTGTGAACTGCCCTTTCTGACCTTTAGGAGGCAGCTCTCAGCTCAAACCAGGCGAGGTGGCACTAAATGTGAGATCCACTCCTCCCAGCTACGTGTGTGTCAGACAGACAGCCAGGAAGACCACACACCCACTCACACACACTCTCACCCACTATCACGCATGCACACCCACTCTCACGCACATATACACATGCACACCCACTCTCATGCGCACACACACACACACTCTCACATGCACTCCCACTCTCACGCACACCCACTCTCACGCACACCCACTCTCACGCACACACGCACACCCACTCTCACACGCACTCCCACTCTCACGCACACACACTCACATGCGCACACACACACACACACACACACACGCACTCCCACTCTCACGCACGCACACCCACTCTCACACGCACACATACACACGCATTCTCATGCACACACACACACTCCCACTCTCACGCACGCACACCCACTCTCACACACATACATACACACACGCACACCCACACACTCACGCACACGCACTCCCACTCTCACGCACACACACATGCACGCACACACACTCTCACACACACACATTCTCTCACAGACGCGCACACACACACAGACACACATTCTCACACACACAGACACACATTCTCTCTCTCACATACACACACAGACACACACACATTCACACACACACACTCACACACACATTCTCTCACAGACACACACACACACAGAGACACACATTCTCACACACACAGACACACATTCTCTCTCACACACACACACACACACACACACACACACACACACCGACAGGTCCAGGGTGGGCTATTCACCTCCTCGAGGCTGTTACCCCATCCAGTTCGATCTGCTGTTTGCCCTCCTCCCACAACCCTTAGTCCAGATCACTCCATAGCCTTTGGCGAACAAAACATCCATCAGTCTGTATCTGAGAAGCTCCAGTTGACCCGAGCTTGGCACAGCTTCTCTGGGGATGGTGGGAGAGTGTCCCAGACTCCTGCTACCCTCTGTGTGTCCGAATATCCCATTGAGTGCGTTGAACATTGTTCTGGACTAGCCCTAGAAGCCCGTGGGCCCACCTTTTTAATCTTTCCAGTATTTGAACCCATCCCCCATTCTCCCCAGCATTTAATAACCTTCAGTACAGGAGTTCGGAGGGTCGTGTTGTGGCTGTACAGGACATTGGTTAGGCCACTTTTGGAATACTGCGTTCAGTTCTGGTCTCCCTGCTATAGGAAGGATTTTGAGAAACTTGAAAGGGTTCAGAAAAGATTAACAAGGATGTTGCCGGGTTTGGAGGGTTTGAGCTACAGGGAGAGGCTGAATAGGCTGGGGCTATTTTCCCTGGAGTGGCGGAGGCTGAGGGGGTGACCTTATAGAGGTTTATAAAATCATGAGGGGCATGGATAGGGTGAATAGACAAGGTCATTTCCCCCAGGGTGGGGGAGTCCAAAACTTTTCCCTGGGATCGATGAGAGGAGAAAGATATAAAAGGGACCTGAGGGGCAACGTTTTCACACAGAGGGTGGTGCGTGTATGGAACAAGCTGCCAGAGGAAGTGGTGGAGGCTGGTACAATTACAACATTTAAAAGGCATCTGGATGGGTACATGAATAGGAAGGGTTTAGAGGGATATGGGCCAAATGCTGGCAAATGGGACCAGATTAATTCAGGATATCTGGGTCAGCAGGGATAAGTTGGACCAAAAGGTCTGTTTCCGTGCTGTGCATCTCTATGGTTGTATGACCTGCGTATCTTTACTTGGAATCCCATCACCAACATAACCACCCACCCCGGCACAGTCTCCACCCTTTGGGAAATATTCCCACTTGGGGCGAATGCGAATGGTCCACCTTAACCTCCATCATTTCCCCTGTGCCTCCTCCTTTGTTTCCTACTGTTCCCAGCTCACTGAGTTTCCTGCTAATCTGAACTCCTCAACAGATATGACATTTAAAAGATATTTGGAGAAGTACATGGATAGGGAAGGTTTGGAGGGATATGGGCCAGGAGGGACTAGCTTAGTTTGGGATTATGGGTTGGCACGGACTGGTTGGGCCGAAGGGCCTGTTTCCCTGGTGTAAGACTCTATGACCCTCCGCCATCCCCCTTCTGCAAGGTCATTGTGTGATACAGGCTCCTTTCCCCTGGCTGGTCTCCAGTCAGCATCTCCCTGGTCAGTGGCTTTCCATCCTGTCTGGTTCCTCAGGGAGAACAGCTCCAACATTCTGGACAACCTGCTGTCGAGGATGGAGCAGTATGCCAACAATCTGGAGGAGCTGGTGGAGGACCGAACACAGGCCTACCTGGAAGAGAAGGGGAAAGCCGAAGCCCTGCTCTACCAGATCCTGCCACAGTAAGTACCTTTGGCCCATCTACTGTGTTGTTCGCCCTCAGGGCACAAAAGCTGCTCACTGCCCTGGAGCAATGCCCATAGAATCCCCAAAGGCCTATGTTTATCACTGAGGCTTGGGGTGGCTCAGTGGTTTGCACTGCTGCCTCACTGCACCAGGGACCCGGGTTCAATTCCACCCTCGGGCGACTGTCTGTGTGGTGTTTGTGCATTTTCCCCGTGTCTGCGTGGGTTTCCTCCCACAGTCCAAGTGTTAGAATAGAATAGAATCCCTACAGTGTGGAAACAGGCCCTTCAGCCCAACAAGTCCACACCAACTCTCAGAGCATCCCACCCAGACCCATCCTCCTAATCTACACATCCCTGGGCACTACAGGACAATTTAGCATGGCCAACCCACCCTAACCTGCACATCTTTGGACTGTGGGAGGAAACCGGAGCACCCGGAGGAAACCCATGCAGACACAGGGAGACTGTGCAAACTCCACGCAGACGGTCACCCAAGGCTGGGATCGAACCCGGGTCCTTGGTGCTGTGAGGCAGCAGTGCTAACCACTGAGCCACCGTGCCACTCTTATAGTGTTGTACAGGATGTTGGTGAGGCCTCTTCTGGTCTCCCAGCTATAGAAAGGACATTATTAAGCTGGAGATTTACCAGGATTTCTGCCGGGAATGGGAGGGTTTGAGTTATAAGGAGACACTGATCATTGGGATTTTTCTCACTGGAGTATAGGAGGGTGAGGGGTGACTCTTTTTGAGGTTTATAGATAAGGTGAATGGCAGGTGTCTTTTCCCTCGGGCGATAAGAGTTCAAAACTAGATGGCATGTTTTTAAGGTGAGAGGAGAGAGATTTACAAAAGACACGAGGGCCAAAATCTTTTTACACAGAGGGTGGCTTGTGTGCAGAATGAACTTCCTGAGGGAGTGGTGGGTGTGGGTACAGTTACAACGTTTAAAAGGCATTTGGATAAGTACAGGAACAGGAAAGGTTTGGAGGGATACGGGCCAGGAGCAGGCAGGTGGGACTAGTTTGGTTTGGGATTATGGGTCGGCACGGACGGGTTGGGCCGAAGGGCGAATGTACGACTGTGACATTCTGTGCAGGTTAGGGTGGCTTGGTCATGTTTAAATTGCCCGTAGTGTCCAGAGACGTGCAGGCTAGATGGGTTAGCCATGAGGTTATGGGGAAGGGAGGGGTTGTGGGTCTGGGTGGGACGCTCCTTCAGAGGGTTGGTGCAGACTCGATGGGCCGAATGGCCTCTGTCTGCACTGTCAGGATCCGATGATTCTACACTCTGAGAGACTTGCTGGGGCTGTTTCAGAGGGCCTGGAGTCCCAAATCGGCCCAGAGCAGGTAAGGACAGCAGATTTCACCTGCCTGTCAGTGAACCAGATGGGTTTTTTTCCAATGATTTTTAATTCCAGATTTTATTCACATTTCGATTTAATTTAAATGCTGCCAGCTGCCCCGGGTGGGGGTATCGGACCACACGTTTCCTAATGCCCTCACTGGATTACTGGCACAGTGTGACATTCTCACACTGTGTGTCCGTCTCCCCCACCCAGGGACCCAGCTCCAGGATTGGGACCCAGCGACACTGTTCCGGGAGGTGGGCGTGGGGGGGAGGTGGGATAGAGTGTGGTTCAGAGAGGAGCCCGCAAGAGTTGGTGGGGGTGGGGGGAGTGAGCAGGAGGGGAAGGGGACGGAGGGGTGGTGTTACTGTGGTGACACATCCTGACGGTGGCGTCTGTCATTCCCAGCTCGGTGGCTGAGCAGCTGAAGAGGGGGGAGACGGTCCAGGCTGAGGCCTTCGACAGCGTCACTATCTATTTCAGCGACATTGTAGGTTTCACAGCGCTGTCAGCGGAGAGCACGCCGATGCAGGTACCCCACGGAGGAGGGGGGGGAGTGGGGTGGGGGCCGGATACCATCAACCCTGACACCGTGTCCTCCCCACCCCCTAGGCACTAACCCTGAGTCTCCCCCAACCCCCTGTGCTCTCACCCTGAGTCTCCCCTACCCCAGGGCTATAACCCAACACCCTATCCCCCTCCCCCCACCCCGCGC